AATAAGGAACTTACATTACCTTATTGAACTATGAGCTACCACATAATTTTCCTCAAATTTATGTGTATTGTCATAAGTTCAATTTACTAACTGGTAAAAATAAAATAAATATACTGGGAAAAATAATATTTGTTACAAATGAAATTTATCATTTTCATTAACAGTCCACATACAATTTCATTTCATTTCTCCACAATGAACTCTTCTATTTCAATCCCAGTGTGCCGAGCGCCTCCTTGTGCTCTCAGCAAAATTTCGTCGCTTATTTTCAGAGAGGTCACCGGAATTGCTGTATTAAAATGGTGTCATATAACAATGGGTAATAACTTTTCCCTAAATATCAAAATGCTTCAAACAAATTTTAAAGTCGATCAAAAGTTTACCTCCCTCGGATGAAATTAATGCAACTGTTTCGGCATTTTGCAGAAGAATGCTATACGAAGTTTGACTGTCATCTATCTGTTAAATTACATCAAATGTATTAAAAATTTCGCGTATCAATCTGGAGCCAAAGTGTATGAAACTCGTTCGTTGCAAACTGTAAACTAAAAACCCATGATTTGGATGCTATATGGAATTTTGAAGTTGAATGTATATATGACTGAATATTAATTAACAGGGGATCAGATATTGATTATTTTCGTAAATAGAGAGAGTTTCAAGTTTCAACCTTTGCCTCGACAAGAATTAATGGTCTCGTTTCTATCTTCACACGTCCAATGATGGCTGTTCGTTGCTTACCGTTTTGATCGACAATTAGTACATCTTTCCCAGCTTTTAATTCCGAAAGGTAATTAGTTTTTCCACCAGGAACAGCTACATAGGCATGAACTGGACCCTGATTTTAATTTTCCTAATCATTCATTTCTTATTTAAATAAAAAAAGGAGAAGGCGAATTAAACTGAAATTATACTTCACGAACCGGGAAAAAAAGCAGTAAAATAGAAACGAAACTCACTGCATTGACCCGAAAAGGTCTACTGGAAATGTAATTAGACTCCAAGCATTCTGAGTGAACGAGGAAGAGCCCTCTTGCAAAAGATCCAACCTTTGACGAACAAAGCACAATAACAAGTTAGTATTCTGTATTCATGTTCTGATTATTAAAAATTATTTCGTGCTTATTAAAGGAAATATGACAAGTGAGCACCAGAAGGCCTTCTCCGGGTTTCATTATGCTGCATAGATCAACACAGACACGATCTCCCATACCGACCGTTTCAATATTTGTTACAACTGCTTTTGTCAATTCCAAAAGGCTGCCCTCATCGTCTCTTTTGTCCAAATAATGCTGAAAAAAACATATCAAAAGGGGTGGATTTTATAAATATCCATGGAAAAAAACATAGAACTGTCGATAAAAAAAGAAGGAATTACCTTCAGCTGAAAGATGGACTCAATATCCTCAGTTTTCAAAACAACACCATCCAACCCGTGCTCCAAGGCCTACTAGAATAGATATATCTAAGTCCATAAATTTTTAGGCAATATTATCCAGTTAATAACCTTCATAATACATAATATAATCGAAAAAAATACATATGTGATTTAATTGAAAACAACCTCAAGAAACATTTGAGCTTCAGATGATGTCCTTGAGACAGCAAATACTTTTTTTCGAGAGCCTTGAATAGCTGCAACAATATTTTCTGCAGGTATTGCCTTAAAAAACACAACAAGTGCCAATAAGACATTCTAAGATCAAGAAAATCAACCATAAAGGATACACATAGAAGCATTGTGGGCTATCTACATTACCCGCCAGTCGAGCAGATTAACAACTACTGCTTGTTCATTCGACGGCTCGAGCTTCTCCAGCTGCTCGGATGAAGAAATTTCAATGAAAGACGCGATTTTTACGCGCTCATTGTCAAAGAGCCCTCCTTGTTCAATGAAGAGAGGGTATAACAATGCAATTGCTGCACAATTCATAACTAAAGTTTAATAAAGTGTAATAAAATCTTTGCTAGCAGAAAAGTATGAATCTATATATAACCCCTTTTCAACATTTTTCATCCATAATTCCAGCTTATTTCATAAACCTGCGAAAATGTATAACAAAACAAACACATTCTTTAACGTATAACACATAGCGCGCACATTCACACGCACTAAAAGGGCATTGTGTTCGTACATGACCAGTCGGCGGCGAGTTCTCGGCGGTCGGAGCGAAAGACAAAAGTATTCCAACCTCTCTCCACGGCGGCTGTCATCACCTCCTTCTTTTCCGTCCATATCCAAACTTTCTTCTTCTGAGAATTTGCAGAAGCACCCCCCCGCACGAGCATTGATTTTGCCGAATAGGGCTCGGGTTGAAATCGGGTCCTCTTCCTACCCCGAATTGACAGATGGGTCGATCGGCAACTGTTATGGTGATGGTTAATCAATCGAAAAAAAAATGATCTTGAAAGTGGGTGTGAACGATTAAGTTTCTTTGCTTTAGACTGGAGCAGAGGAGCTGATAGCATTCGCGTAGCCATTTTCAGAGCCGTAGCCCAATGGGCAAAAATTGTCAATTTTCAATTGTAGACGCTTGTCAAAATAGCCTCTTCTCATTTGCCCACAAAAACATTTGTGATTTAAGGCCCGTTGGGTTAACATGTCAATCTCAGGTCGAGCCGAGTCCGGCTCGTTACGTTCAAATAAAAAGGACCTTTTACGAAATATTTTGAACTTGTATAAACAACTAGAGTTCGAGCTCATTTATTGACTTATTAATTTAAGGAGTCCGGCCAAGTTTAACTCGATCAGGACTTAAACCCAATCTCGAGTTGAATTGTGTCATATCCAGCCAAAATCCAAACATGTGAAGCCACAAACACAAACAAACAAAATAAAAGGAATCAGATTCCACAATTATAGTTAAATAGGATTTCTTTATTGAAATGAGTTGTTATGTGAGTTGTCATTTGTTGAGTAATGGAGTTTCACTTCCTATAAATTGTAAGCATTCAGCAGCGGAAGAAAATGCACCGAGAAGAAGAAAGAAAAAGAGTGCAGAAACAACATCAGTTTCTGGAGTGAGTGTTATTTTTTCAGTGGGATAAAAATAGAGTGTTTGAGTAAATCCTGTGGGTGTGGGAAAAATACACCGAGTTGGGTATCAACTCTATTATTCCTTGTTTAGGAGTGGGGTTTCACTGGGTCACTATATTTTACATTTCTAGTGTAAGGGGAGTGTGAAAAGATATTGTAATTATCTTGAAAATATAGTGGAATTGTTCGGAGGTTGTCCCGTGGTTTTTCCTCTATTTGGAGGTTTTCCACGTTAAATCTTGGTGTCTTATTTCTTGCATATTTTATTTATTTGGGATATTCTTAGTATGCTCTGTGGTTGCAGTTTAATCTGATCTTCCACATCAGAAAAGAATTATTCCGGTATTATTGCAAGAGATTATTTTTCTTTTGTCATTCTTGAGTTGCTGGGATCGGGATTATTGTTCACCATTTTACTTTGATATTTTAATTTGCATCTTCCGCATTGTGCATCTGAGCCCAACAAATTGTCTATTTGGCTTGTTTGGCTCATCTAATCAATTTCTCTTTCACCAATGATAAAAAATTCAAATATTTTGTTTTCAAAAGATTTGTAGTTCGGTAATTAATTATTAATTTCTATATCACACCAACTTTTCATTATAAAAATATTTATATCATATTAACTTTCTTTGATAACTAATTTTTTTCACCAACAAAAAACCATATACAAATGCAGGCCATAGACTTACTCATAGTCGATTTATTACAATCAATCACATTCTTGATGCATCAGAAGCTGGGAAAACCAGATTCTTATCCTTACCACATCCTGTTGAATGATATCTAATTGGACAAGACACAATCTTTTTCCCATTCCCATCCAAACATATATAAATCTCTCTAACAAAAACGCGGCCCTTCAAAACTCGACACGACACGTAAAAATGGCGAGCCCCAATCCCCCATTTTACAGCAGCCTCGATGGATTTAACGGTGTACAACAGCAACCCGTTATTGGGCTTGATGTTGTTGCTAGTCAAGGCCCGTAATAAATCGAGCTTTTGTTGTGTGGTAATAATCAGCCGCAGATAATTGTGCACGTTCATTCTCGAAAGCGCGCACGAGCCATGTTTGTCCCATTGGTATTGCCAAAAGTTCGTGTTTGTCAGATCAGTTCTTAGGGAAGGCCACGAATACGCCAGCTGTCTTTCGTATTTGCTAATCTGCATATATTCGACATTTCGAAAAGTGGTAAAAAAAGCCCGTTTTGCACGAAAGATGGATAAAACTTAAAAGAATGTGAAAAAAAGCACTTGCAGCCGAAGATATGCTTCCGGTCTTATAACAATGAGTTAAAGGTTTGCCCGATTTATTGGCTGGCCAAAGTCCGTGGATCACGAAATTCTGAGGCACGGGTTTATTACACGTCACGTTTCGGTCCAAACAAAACGTGTTTGGCCATGTGTAAACTAGTTGAAAATTGTAGTACGAAGTTTTACGTATGCTCCAAGCAGAGCAAAAACACAAGAGGAGGAGACAGAGGAAGAGAATATTGTCGGGTTTCTTCATTTTTTTGTTTTCCCTCAGAACCGATTTTCATTTCCTTTTTTCTTTTTGTCGTTTTTGCAGACGATTTCTTCGTAATAAATACGCGAGAGTCTATCGTGCTTTCGTGCAGCTTGTAGCAGATAGAATTTGTCTATATAATTCCAAGGATCATTTGCATTTATGATCTGCTAGAGTTGTTCGAAATCAAAAGTTCAATTTGATCAATGGTTATTCTCGTTCCAAATGTTCACATCAAGACAACGTCATTAGTTAACTTGTTCGACTCAAGAATTCAACGACGAGCCCACAATTAACACTAAAAGATCACTTCTCGACTGAGAACGAATATCAAAAGTTCGATCAATGGCTATTATTCTCATTTCAAATGTTCCAATCAAGACAACGTCATTAGTTAACTTATTCGACTCAAGAATATTCAACGAATGAGCCCACGATGAACTCTATAAACTCTATAAAGATCATTTCTTGATCGAGAACGAATA